ACTGTCTCTGTAGATGAGATCTCTGCCAGCTGGGATCCCCTGCGAGGGCTTACAGCTATGCTATGGCTAGCAAATTGCATAGGTAGTCCTTTTTTAGTGACCACAATTGGGATTGGCAATTTGTTCATTAAACAAAACAGTCACTAAGTGAAGCCACAACTGTGCTTATGATCTTACTTTAGCTATCCTTTGCTTTACAGACCTATGCAGGTTGAAAGTAGGCGAACTGGTTATAAAGTTACTTTTTTCATCACCACTGTAACTGTGAACAGTCGGTACACAATCACAAACACACACACAAACAGTTTAACATTGTTAGGAAGCTTTCAAAACTATCCAATATCTTTTTAGTGTTGGATGGGTTAATGAATGAAATATATTTGTATACATACATACAAACATATACATACATACACACATATATATATTTACTAAACCTGGTTCATTATGATGTTCAACTAATGGACCTTTAAAATGTTTTTCTGTCACACAGTATTTTGCTACCACATCATGTCTACTCTACATTAAATAAACTGTCCTGAAAAGCAGCCCATAAATTATTTAAATTATCATAAATGAGCATAAACAGAAATATGTATAGATAATGTTATTAATATAAATGATGTACTTTATAAATGTTATTTAAATAAAACCATAAAATATGACTTCCAAGTTACTTAAATAGATTTAGAGTATGCTGCTGCACTGATGGAAATTCAGTTGTCACTTGTGAATAAAAGAAGTAGTATTGGATGGCCACTCTCCCCTCTGAATACAGCTGCCAAGAAATACAACAAGAAAGGTCCACTGATTTTCATGTCCTAACTAGCGAGCCACTACGAAACAGAGTGCTGGATGAGTCTGATTCTGAGTTCATTCAAACTGGCAATTCCTATGTTTAATCAGAGGCCCTGAGGACATCAATCTGGCCTGTGAAATTCCATTCCTGAGGTTGTATGGTCCTTGGCTCTCGAGCATGTGGCATATCATGATGGATCCCAAGAATGATGGGATGAACGATGAGGACACCCAAATCACATCCACTTTACCTCAATTTTCCTTAAGCCCAATGTCTTGTATTCCATATGTAATGGATAACAATCCTTACCATTTCCTGCAGCTATTACTGGAAATTGGAGAAGTTTTAATCCAATACATCCAGAAAGCTTTAGGTTGTACTAAGTAATATGGGCAGGGAAAGGGCTAAGCTTGACATAATTAAGAAATAAAAGATGATTTAAGAATAGAATCTTCTTATCTGCTTACTAAACATAGCTTTGTTAAGCTAGGATGTAAAAACAAATCTGCATTTTTGATCAAATATTCAAATAAGAAAAAAGGGGAGAGGGAGTGCATTTTCTAAAGCAAATAGTTATTACCAATTGCAAGCAGCAATACAAATAGTCCCATAACTGATGTACAAACCTTACAAAAAAAATTGGGGTCATATACAAGATTCATTTCAGGATAGGAGGGAAGAAATGAAGTCAACATGGGTCAACATGGTTCTGTGTACTTTTGTCTTGACCAAATGCATGTACATAAAAACTATTGACTTTTTTGTGTTTTGTTTGCTGTGAGAAATCTGTCAGAAATTTTTTAAAATAAAAAGCAGGAACACATGAAGCATTGACAGCCAGTCCCTTCAGCTGCTGTGGATACACAGGACAAGTGTGGTGTGTGGTTTCTGCACTTATAGTATGATCGTTCCAATGTATTATAAACAATAAATCAAAGATCAAGAAGATTGAACAGACCCTTGATCCTTCAACAGGCCTCCACTCATGCTCATAAATGGATTGTCTACCTAGTTAGATCCATGTACCCGATATACAGCGAATGGAATATGGAGATTATAATTGGATTAAAGCACAGAGCAAATATGACTTCCAGATAAGGTGGAGCAGGAAGCTGTTTCAAGTAGAATAAGCAGACTTCTTGTGCTACTCATAGGCTGAACTAATTGTACACTTTGCCTGGCTTTGTGAGGTGATATAGTGTGACTTGTTCCTGGACTGAGGGGGCCCTGCTCAGAATTCATACCTTAGTCACCTCCTAAATGGATTTACTGCAATGTGCTTTACATGGAGCTGTCGTTGAAGAGTATTTTGAGACTACAGCAGGTGCAAACTGTGGTGGTATGGGAGGTTAGAGTGCTGCTCATTTGGTATATATGATACCTCTGTTCCATGAACAACAATGGCTGCTGGTATGCTTCTGGGTACAATTCAAGACACTGGTGGTTTTCTTTAAAGCCCTTCATAGTTTGGAGCTGGGTTTCTTATGGGACTGTCTCTCCCCACTGCTGTTTACCCATCCTGTTAGATCTGGCAGGAGAAACATGTTCTGTCTGTCTGCAGGAGTGCCGTCTCTTGGGTTCGAGGGAGAGAACCTTTTCTGCCATAGTGCCACCTTCTGGCACATCATCCCCTCAGAAATTAGGTTTGCCCTGATCCTGCTGGCCTTTTGTAGGGCTCTAAAAAAACTGGCTTTGCCACTGAACCTGGGGCCCTGATAGCATGGGTGAGTCCATGTCATGAGTTATTTGAACGCTTATGAGTCTCCTTGGCTGCTATTTTTATGTCATTTATGTTTTTTAATATTTGGGGGGGGGGTTGCTGTTTTTTTTATTGTGCGGTGCCCAGAGTCATATAGATAGGGTAGGCAGCTTATAAACGTACTAAAGAAATAAATACAGTTAATGTATAATGCAATCACACTGAGGAAAAAATAAATGCCTACTATAAAATGACTCATAGTTGAACAATCAATATACATGAGGCCTCTTGGACAGAGATGAATATACCTTTCTAACCTTTCTATGTTCTGAAAACAAGGGCTTTCAAATTATACCACCATTACTGTACATTCAAATCTGGAACACAGCCTTATAGGTACTTACAGAATATCTATAGAGTTATGGAAATCCAAATATTCAAAGGAGCGTGAGCCCGCTTTCTCCAACAAAGAAGGCTGCTTTATCAAGCATGGATAACATCATGGTATGCATTAGAGTAGGACACAGTTACTCCATTGTAGAATATAGTTACTAGGGCAGCATGTGAAAAAGGGGCTTTGCAAAACCTATTAGCAAAGCCATGGAACTTCTTTCTCAAAGCATTAAAGAATCCGCTGCTTCTTTCATTTGGGAATGTGACATCCCAAAACATGTACAAATTGCACGGATGCTTTGTCAAGTCAGGGCAGAGTTTGTGACACATCAGTGTGCTGCTTCTTTCCTCATTGGCCTTCCTGCTGCATGGCTGTTTTGAAGGCTCTCCTTTGTTGGCTCCCTTTGTATAAGCATGCACACTGCTTTGCTAACAGTTTCAGAGTCAGTATTATCTATACATGCACGCACCTGCATTGATAGCCAGGGACAGTTTGAAAGAGGCTGTGTAAGCCTTTTAAAGCGTACTGCTAGTTAAATGCATCAAAAAGGAGTGATTCACTTGTGCCAACAGAGTTTCTGAAATACTCTACCTCTTCCAAATACTTTATTTGATAAATAAATAATAAAATGCTTTATACAATCTAATAGCTGCACCCGTCTGATTAAGTTTTTCTTCTGTTTCAATCACTGGGAATTTGGGGCTTGGACAACTTATTCTGATGGAATGTATCACTTCCTATTTAAAAACATGTACGGAGCAAAAAATCCTCTAACAGAAAAGCCTATTTCAATAGGATAAACAAGTCCTTACATTCCCCCAATTCTGCAATGTTCCATTTTTAATGCAAAAAAAATAATCCCCTTTTTTGAATGAATTACTAATAGGAGAATGGAGAAACAGAGAAAACCATTTTTTTCAAAAAAAACTGGGGAAAGGAAACATGAAAATGGATGAATTAAGTGTAGACAACCTGCATTAAAAAAAATACAAACTACAGGTAGTCCTTGACTTACAACAGTTCATTTCGTGAATGTTCAAAGTTCAACGGCACTGAAAAAAGTGGCTTATGACCTTTTTTCACAGTTACGACCTTTGAAGCATCGCCATGATCTTGTGATTAAAATTCAGATGCTTGGCAATTGGTTCATACTGATGACTGTTGCTATGTCCCAAGGTCACGTGATTACCTCTTGCAAGATTCACTTGATAACCAGATTACTAACTTATCAACTGCAGTGATTCTCTTAAAAATTGTGGCAAGGAAGGTCGTAAAATGGGGTAAAACTCACTTAACAAATGTCTCACATAACAACATAAATTTTGGGCTCAATTGTGGTCGTAAGTCAAGGACTGCCTGTAGTCTTTACAAGATTGGTGGAACCACTGTCATACTTTACTTGCTGGAATATCCGCCCCCCCCACCCCCCCAGATAATAACCTAGTCCTGGCTTAGTTTACTCATTCTTTTTTTCGATTGCTGCAGAGGAAGGAGAAATTTAAATTAAACCCCAGAGGTGCTTGCTGAAGATAAGTTCCCAACCCCTTCTCAGTTTTAGTACAATTAAAGTAAATTCATGAATGGAGATTGGCATCCCAAATAATAATAATAATAATAGAAACCCAGCCTGACACAACATGTTTGGTCAAGAAAACTTTCCACCATAATTAGCATTTTCTTGGTTTGAGGGTGGAGCTACCCCACAGTGCAACTTTAACACAGAAGGCACAAACAGTATAAATGACTCAGGATGTTCCTTGAAATAACAACTTCTGCTCTGCACACCTGTAGTGGAAGGACTCATGAGCCAAGACTGCTCCATTGCACATTTCTAATTCTACAACATGCTGGTATGCTACAATTCTGTCTGGCTTGGCTTCCAAGATCTCTAAGTGCTACAGAATTTTTATTCATGTGCTCACTAATGGCACTTGAGAATATTCTAATTACAGTTAGTGCAGGAGGCTTACATCTGCATGATTTTGCTAACTGGGCTTGCTTTCTGAAACAGGGGGAGCCAGATTCTGCTTTTGGAAACTTCAGTGGGTTTATATAGGGACAGGACTGGCAGCTATGTAATTTTCTCCTCTTTTTCTTTCCGAATATATTTGCATACCACTGGGGTATTATGCAGTTCATGTTGAACATGCAACAAAGTATAACTAGATCTCTGATGCTTACTATGCCTACATTTAAAAAAAAATTATTTAAAGCCTATACTCCAATGAGCTGCATTGAGGCAGAATGTTTATGTATTTACTTCAACTTTGTAGGGATAAAAAGAATCCAAAGTTCAATTCTCCAAATATGTACACAAATACTATTATTTTTTTTTACTTCCTTCGATGAAGAGTGGATTTAGGAATATGAAGTTACACCTATCCTTTCTGTTGATGCTGCTTTCCATGAACATAGTCTGGGGTGATGAACACTTTTATCCTGAACGACATCAGCAACACCAATCGAGTGCACCAATCAAAGGACCACCTTTTCTGCCTTTCAGCGTAAAAAATCCTGGTAAGTAATTGTTTTGCTTCTTAAAGTAAGAATTTGTTAAGAATGTTGGTTGTTAAGTGTCAACCAAGATACTTGCTATTCCGTAAGTGTTGTTTTGAGAGACAAAAAGTATTGGTTTGGTAAAAGGTAAACCACTCTTGTTCTTTTTCAGATACTTACCTCAATTATTACTATAAAACTGAATACAGAAGAATAACTGCAGGGAAATAGCACATGGGACATTATAATGTTTGAATGCTCTGTTTATAAACTTTTCTGGACCATGCATAGAAAACTAAATTGTTAAAGAAACCACTTCGATGCACTGTCTTTCCATGAGAAAGATTTCAATTGTAAGGAACTGTTTTAATACACATGCCACCAAATATTTTAAAGTAGTTCATCTCAGGGAGATAGATGGGGGTGCTTTTTCAAAACACACTATTTTACTTATTAGACTTTCATCCCATCTTGATTACTTTATAAATAACTCAAGGCGGTGAACATGCCTAATATTCCTTCCTCCTCCCCATTTTCCCCACAACAACCCTATGAGGTCGATTGAGCTGAGAGAGAGAAACTGGCCAAAGTCACCTAGCCAACTTTCATGCCTAAAGAAGAACTAGAACTCCCAGTATGGTGGTTTCTAGGCCAGCAGTTTTACCACCACCCAAAAACTGGCTCTTCAGATTTGTGATCAGATGTTTAACTGATGCACTGATGAAAGACTAGAAAGCAACACAGAACATATTCTAAGGTGTTCCAATTGTGATTTTAGAACACCTTCTCCAGGCTATACTTTTGCGGTCTAATATTCAAAAGGCTCAAGGCAAAACAGGGAAAATGCAAACTGAAATCATTTTTTTCACTTCCTTTCTTTCTCAAAACATAACAATTACAATACAAATGATGTACTAACAGCAACAAGTGCATGGAAATACTATCAGTAGCACCCATCACTAAAACTAAGCTCTGAGATTTGTCGCAATGATTTTGTTATTCATCCCACTTCAAAAGACCAGCTAACAGTAAAATGAAAAATAAGATACGTTTCTTAGCATAATACTAAGATTTGAAGTAAAAGTTCAAAATATATATTTTCTCCTCTGTTAAGACAGGCTCATTGACAGCCACAGAATACCTAATGTGACCACTAGGTGGGCAACCTTCTAGGACAGTGGTTCTCAACCTGTGGGTCGGGACCCCATTTGGGGTCGATCGACCATTTCACGGGGGTCGCCAAGCAAGGCTGTCCGCCATTTTTTCCCCCTTTTCCAGCGGGTGCCTTACCTCCCTTGGGCTGGGCCAGCTGGTGGTCGGCCTGCTTCGTCTCTGCCGCTTGCCAGCTACGCCTCGGCCGGCGCAGGGGGCGGAACCACGCATGCGCGGCGCTCCCAGGCAGGGAAAGTCCTCGACTTACGACCGGTTGGGGTCGCGGCATTAAAAAGGTTGAGAACCACTGTTCTAGGAAACAAGTAGACAGCCTGTGGCCCTCCAAAGCAGAGGTCCCCAACCTTTTGGGCACCAGGGACCGGTTCCGTGGAGAGAGTTTTTTTCACGGACCAGAGGGGGCGTGGTTTTGTGTGCTGCCTGCATCCCGCGGATAGGGCTGTGCTTGTTTGTGCGGCCCGGTTGCTGGCATGCTGCGGACCGGTACTGGTCCACGGACCGGGGGTTGGGGACCCCTGCTCCAAAGGATGGTGAATCACAAGTCCTATCATCTTTGGATTTAATGGAAACTGAAGATCAACAATATCTGGCAACTTTACCATACAGACTTCTCTATTGTCCTGTCCTGCCATTCATGCATGGATTTAGCTTTCGATTCATTTAGGTAATACTATTTAGGAATAGTACAAAGGAATCCAAGAGGATTTATTTTAAATGCAAAATCCAAGAACTTCATTCAGTTCAATGGAAATACAAAGCCTTTAATGAGAGGTTATGGTGATGCTGAAATTTCGCATTTCATAGTAGTAACAGGAATACCAGACAAGAAATCTTTCTTTTTTTTCTGAAAAAGTTCCAACTTCAGATTTTATTATGTGTTCTAACTTTGGTGCAGAAGTTCATTTGTTAGATGGATTTTGAAATGCTAACATATGCTTCAAATTTAAGCCAGTGTAATATTAGCTGATGAAAGTTATATTTTTCTTTTTTATATATATTCCATTTTTGTTTTTAGGGTTTGGTTAGCAATCAGGGTAGGAAGGAGTAGCATTAATCAAATAAATAGTTCCATCATCATAATCAACACCACCACCATAGGTGAGGAACTTGTAGCTCCCTGGATACATCCATTACAATTTTTATCCTTTCTTGCCATTATATCATGTTAACTGAGGGTACTAAGAATTGTAGTGTCTAGAGCAGGGGTAGGCAACCGTGGCTCTTTTATGACTCGTGGACTTCAACTCCCAGAATTCCCGAGCCAGCATGGCTGGCTCAGGAATTCTGGGAGTTGAAGTCCACGAGTCATAAAAGAGCCAAGGTTGCCTACTCCTGGTCTACAGGATGCTAGATAATATGGCAGACTTACAAGAAAGGAACTATTCTGAAATACCCAGTAGTGAAATTACAGAACATGAGGTATCTAAAAAGATTTTTAATTACAGGTAATTCTCAGATTTCTTTGTAGGATGCTATAAAGATTAACATTGCAGTAAGACTTTTGCAATCACTCTTCCTTACATTCCTTGCTTGGTTCAAAATTATTTTAAGTAAGATAATCTGCACAATTCACAGCAAAAGTGTTAATTAACAGGAAGCTAAAACCAAGACAGGAATCTAACAGAATTGGCTACATTTTTCTAAGTTAAATGGATTTTTGTCCAGATTCTTAAACCGCAATTCCATACTGACTTATAACTCTTGCCATTTTAAGGGAATTAAAGCTTAAAACAAAATGTTAAGGTTTAAACATACGTATTTCTAATATAGTTAGGCAGGAGTCTACTTTGAAAGCATGAAGGTTAAGAAAGTGATGCACAACCCTTGGGCTGGAAACCATGCCTTGCTTGATTTAATAATTGTCTTCCACACTGGCAGGGGGAAATGAGAACACATTGTACCAGAATGCTGGCTAGGGAATTCTGGGAGTTAAAAGTCCACCCATCTTAACATTGCCAAGTTTGAAAAACATGAACTACACCATGACAAGGAGGGTGAGGATCTCCCAGTGCAGCTCCACAGCAAAGCACTAATCTCAAGGAAGCCTCGATTTCTCCAATGGGGAGGAGCCAACAGTGACTCCTCCCAGAGATGTGTTTCTCCTCTGCTAGCAAAGATTTGCTCCTGTCTGCTAGAGACAGCAGGACTTGATCTAGTGAGCTTAAGTTAAGGGAGCACAAATTTCAACTTAATATTATTTGGGATGCTTCTAATTCACACAGATACTTAGTTCCTTTCTAAAGGAAGTAGTGGCTTTTAATGCCTGAGCATCTGATACTATACTAATACAAGCTATGCAAATAGGGCTGATACTCAGCAATTGGTTGCATCCTGAAACAACATTCCCAGAATGACATCCCCTCCACCCTTTTTATACAAATAAGGATTTCCATGCAGCTTCACTTGTATACTTGGGTCATTCAGGCTCATTGATTCTAATATAAAGACTGGCAATTACTTCTAAAATGATTTTTCCAGAATAAAATGTAACTCAGGGATTAATAGACCAGTGAAACACTGTGGACATAGTATACTTAGATTTCAGTAAGGCATTCAACAAAGTAGACCACAATCTACTGCTTGGTAAGCTAGAAAAAGGTGGAATAGATAACATCACCATCAGATGGATTTGTAGCTGGCTGGCAAACCGTACTCAATGGTTAGTCCTCAATTGTATTACATCCACATGAGCAGAAGTAAACAGTAGGGTACCACATGGCTCTGTCTTAGGCCCAGTACTCTTCAATATCTTAATCAATGACTTAGATGAGGGAATAGAAGGGGAGCTCATCAAATCTGCAGATGACACCAAACTGGCAGGAATAGTCAACACCTCAGAAGACAAACTCAGATCTTTCAAAAAGATCTTGACAAACTGAAACAATGGTCCCTATCCAACAAAATCAGTTTTAATGTGGAGAAAAGCAAAGTTTTACATTTAGGCAGGAAAAATCAAAGATATAAGTACAGATTAGGTGAGACCTGGCTCAAAAACAGTTAACTGTGAGAGGGACCTTGGAGTCCTGGTGGACAATCACTTGACTATGAGCCAGCAATGTGCAGCAACAGCCAAAAAAGCTAATGCCACCCTGGATTGCATAAACAGAGGCATAGAATCAAGATCACGTGAAGTATTAGTACCGCTTTATAAAACCCTAGTGAGACCACACCTGGAATACTGCAACCAATTTTGGTCACCATACTACAAAAAAGATGTTGAGACCTTGGAAAAAGTTCAGAGAAGAGCAACTAAGATGATCCAAGGCCTGGAGACTAAAATATATGAAGAACGGCTGCAGGACTTGGGTTTGGCTAGTCTAAAGAAAAGAAGAAACAGGGGATAGCAGTATTCCAGTATTTGAGAGGCTGCCACAAAGAAGAGGGGGTCAAATTATTCTCCAAAGCACCAGAGGAAACTGATCAAAGACAAAAGCAACCTGGAATTAAGGAGAAAGTTCCTAACAGTGAGGACAATTAACCAGTGGAACAGCTTGCCCCCAGAAATCGTGGGTGCTCCATCACTGGAGGTTTTTAAGAAGAGACTGGACAGTCACTTGTCTGAGATGGTATAGGTTCTCCTGCTTGAGTGTGGGGCTGGACTAGAAGACCTCCAAGGTCCCTTACAGCTCTATTCTATTCTAATAAGCTTATTAAAGATCACAGATACTCTGAACAAGTAAACCAAATAATATTAAAATCATTTTTCAAGTTCTAAATCAGGGGTATCCAATCTTGGCAACTTTAAGATTGTGGATTTCAATTCCCAGAATTCTCCAATATGGCTGGCTAGGGAATTCTGGGAGTCCACAGATTTTAAAGTTGCCAAGGTTGGACACCCTTGTTCTAGATGCTAGGCTTCCTACTGAGCTTAATGGCTTTTACGTATTTGTGGATATGCTAAATTTGGGCATAGGAAACATTTTAACCTGTTCAATGAACTACTGACAGCCATATTATAACTTTCATAGGTTCATGGGATTTTTTGTGCAGTTCCTGGAAATGATTTTCACGAGGCATTTTGGATACAAGCTAAAATAAGACCAAGTAGATTTACTAAAAGCACACAAAAGTAAACCTATTTCCCTAAAACACTTATTTAAAACGTGCAAGAATGGATTAGCTCTTCCCAATGCCCAACTGACAAAGATGTGAAAAATGTGTATGCAGCTTTGCTATTTTGTAGTCAGCTCAAAGAAGATTTATCAAGAGAATACATCTTAGTCATTCCCAACATAAATACTGAAGCAATTACACAAACCCCTTAAGACAGCTACAAACATTTATAACATAAATCATTTTACTTACTTGGGTTTGTTATTGCTGCTCCCTTCTGTTAGGTTTGCCAAACATGATTCCAGTACTCTGGAGTGGTCTCTGGCAAAACATTTGCTCAAAACTTTCCATGGTATCCAAACAAATGCCTTCACTAACTATTAAGTAGTTATTTTCTTTTATAAAAGTTCTTTCTGTTAATGTCAATGCACAATTTGAAATTGAGCATTGGAGAAACATAGCTTCATACCCAACCTGAAACTTTCCATGTCTGTTAAAATGACAACTCCCAGAATTCTAGTGACTATGAATTTTGGATACAGTAATCCAATAACATAGAAAGCATCTGGTTGGGAAAGCTGGCTTACATTATTAAAAATGTAATATAATCTTGAGATCAAATCTAACACACACACACAGATATATATTTATGTGTGTGTGTGTGTGTGTGTGTGTGTGTGTGTGTGTATATATATATATATATATATATATTCAAAATTTTGTGGCTGACAAACAGTTAGTTGGAGACTAGTATACTAGTCTCCCACTAACTTTTTGTCAGCCACAAAATTTTGAATTTACAGTATTCACAGTATGTGATGTCTGCTTGCAAAACATGCTCCTAGATTGGAGCGAAACGCAGAACAGACTGATTTATATTTGGTAGATCGGGTGCTCCACCCAACAGATAATTAATATATACACACACAATACATATATACATGTACATGCATTTATGTTGAAGGTCCCTTATAGATTCTGTATTTCTCTCCAAGGAGATACATTCCTTTATTTTCTATGGCTTCTACATGGTTGCATGGCTCCCTCTACTGGTTTAAAAATACCCAAAAAAACCCTGCATTAATATTAGAAGTTTAAACATAAACATACCAAAGTTCCTGTTCCAAAACCACGTAAGAGTAGTCCATTCTGATTTCTCTCTCTCTTTTAAATAATATAATAAATTACTTTTCAGAGGCTGCATTAAAACACAAGGATCATGTTCAACTCACTGAATACCACTTTTAGGAAAGGTGACCTATGACTTTGGATCACTCATTCTCTATCAGGCCAACCCATCTCAGAGGGTTCTTGTTGGGAAAATAGGACAAGGGAAATGGGGAGCACTACATCCATAACCTGCTGGAATATGCATCTAGTAAATAAATAATAATAATATGTACACTTTTACTTTCACTTGAGCTTTGCAAGTGAATTTGAACAGGATTGTTCTCTTAGAACTGGCTCTGCCCTTCCGCAGGATGTTTCAATTGCTGGAGAAGAAAGGATGGTGGATTGGGTCTCAGAAATTCTTGGACAACTAACACATTAACCAGTCTATCCCTGCCCTTTTCCCGGCTAAACCACATCTCCTTCCTTTCTACCTAATGCAAATATCATGGTGAGCCAGGTACAGGTAGTCCTCGAGTTACGACCATAAAAGGAGCCTGCCCGTCACAGTCTCAAGTTGTAATGGTCAATTTTATGACCTTTTTGTGGCACTCATTATGTAAATCACCATGTTCATTAAGCAAAACAAGGGTTCGCTATGGGTGAAATTTTGCTGAAAGCCAGAAGGAAATAAATTTAATAAATATATGCTGATTTTTGGCAAAACCACCATTTTAAAATGTGGTCATGTGGTAGCCGGATGCTGCAAACGGCAGTAAATGCAGCCTGGTTGGCAGGCGACGGAAGTACAGTCACATCACGGCACAGGAGGGTGACCATCAGATTTTTGAATCCAGATTGTAAGTACCCCCACAGATAGATTTGTGAACTTCAAACAATTGCTAAGCGACCAGTCGTAATTTGAGGACTATCTATGTGGGAATGAAAATAATATTTTCATATCAGATGCTATATGCTAAATAAATAAATAAGTCATGTCAGGCAATTCATTCTCCTGAGACACAGCTACATTTATAGGGGCTTTATATGATTTAACTTCTTCAATTAAAGGGATCACACACAATCAAGGCACTTGTGAAACATGCCTTCTTTCTCTATATCAGAAAAATGTAGACAGGTTTAGAAGAAACAGAGATTCAGACTCTTACACTTTCTCTGCTTCAGTGAATCTGACTCCAAATGTCTCAAGTGCAAAGAGAAAGATGCTCATCAAACATCTCCAAGGAACACAGTATCTGTGGCTGACAATTCTGGAAATGGTCCCTTACCAAGAGATTTGGGTTGTTTTATCACAAAAATGAACTTTATTGTAGTGATTTTCTTTCTTATGAGAAAGTACTGCAGGTTCCAAAATACAAACAGTCCATTAAAATCATGACTAGGAAGCAACCCTCAGCTTTGCCCTATGTAAAGATTTTGAAATTTCATGCACATTAAAGCCAATGAGCTGCTTTCAGTTTGTGTTCATGGAATCTTCATCACACCTTCACTATATAGCTTCTTTTTTTTTTTTTGCTAGCTATTAAAATGCAACTTTGCTTTTGTTTTCTAAGGTCAAAAATTATTCAACAGATGTAAACAAGTTGCTTGAAAGGAATTTTTTTTTCCTTCCTTCCTTCCTTCCTTCCTTCCTTCCTTCCTTCCTTCCTTCCTTCCTTCCTTCCTTCCTTCCTTCCCAAATGACTCACAATAAAATGTAAACAAACGATCACGTTATAAGAAATGACTGTAACTGAACTATGTGTTAAGTGGCATAAGGTTTTTTTTTAATAGACGTTGTTAGAAACATGTAAAATGTCTGGAGTTACGTCTACTTGTCCTTCTGAACCATTTAATTCCTATAGGATATTAACTGTCTTAATGCTGTTTTAGATTCACAGGCAAGGGGAGAACAAGGCCCTCAAGGCCCAGCAGGCCCTCCTGGCCCTAGAGGCTTCCCAGGACCTCCAGGAGAACCAGGAAAACCAAGCTATGGAAGCCAAGGGCCTCCAGGACCTGCAGGACCCCCAGGACTTTCAGCGGTGGGAAAGCCAGGCACCCCAGGCTTGCCAGGAAGACCAGGAGACAAAGGATTCCCTGGTGAAAAAGGAAGCATGGGGTCTGCTGGTCTTCCAGGGCCAAGAGGTTCCCCGGGAGCCCCTGGTCCTACAGGAATTTCTATGGCGGGGAAGCAAGGACTCCCAGGACCTCAAGGACTAAGAGGCGTCCCTGGGGAAAAAGGTGTCCCGGGCGCTCCTGGTATCAAAGGGCAAAAGGGAGAATACAGGTATGGGGTTCCAGGTCGTCCAGGGGATAAAGGCCTGCCAGGACCACAGGGGCCTCCAGGACAACCAGGGATAGGAAGGCCTGGGGAAAGGGGGTTTCCAGGGCAACCAGGTGTTAAAGGGGACAAGGGTTTACCAGGCTTACCAGGACCAGTTGGACTTCCAGGTCCCCAGGGCTCTCCCGGGAGAGCTGGGATGCCTGGAAAAGGACTCCCTGGCTCCAGTGGATCACCTGGCCTCCCAGGAACCCCTGGGGCAAAAGGACCTCCAGGTCCTCCAGGCTCAACTGGGCCCTCTGGTCTCCCAGGATTCGGAAAACCTGGACTGCCAGGGATGAAGGGATATAGGGGGCCTGAAGGATTCCCTGGTGGTCCAGGAACCAAGGGAGAACAAGGCCCAGCTGGTATCCCTGGAAGACCTGGAGCAGTCGGGCCACCTGGGGAAACAGGTCCTCGAGGGCTGAGAGGTGGCACTGGTGCAAGTGGCAGACCTGGGCTCAAAGGGGAAAGAGGTCCAACTGGTCCATCAGGATTGCCGGGGATTAAGGGAGAAAGAGGCTTTCCAGGATTGGAAGGCAGATCAGGGAAGCCAGGATTTCCTGGATCCAAAGGCTTTCCAGGTGTGGTAGGATCCAAAGGAGATCCAGGCCCCGCTGGGCCATCTGGTTTACCTGGACCAATGGGCTCACCAGGACCTAAAGGTGCAGCAGGAATCAGTGGTGGGCCAGGTCCTAGAGGATCACCTGGAATACCTGGTATAAGGGGACCAGTTGGCCCTTCAGGTATTCCAGGACTCCGTGGAGGCAAAGGGGATCCAGGTGCACCGGGATTACCAGGTCCAGCTGGAATTTCATCAAAAGGTGCAGATGGACCTATGGGACCAGTTGGCCTTCCAGGTTCCAAAGGCCACCCTGGAGAGCCTGGATTGCCAGGCCCCCCTGGTCCTCCAGGCCAAGCCCTGGCAGGAGTGCCAGTTATAAAATCTGGTGCCACTCAAGGTCTCACTGGCCAGCCAGTGTCCGCTTTCACTGCCATTCTCTCCAAAGCTTACCCTGCATCTGCCTCTCCTATCCGATTTGATATAATTTTGTACAACAAGCAACAACACTATGACCCTAGATCAGGCATCTTCACCTGCAGGATACCAGGGCTTTACTACTTCGCTTATCATGTTCATGTCAAAGGCACACATGTTTGGGTTGGCCTGTACAAGAATGGCTCACCCATCATGTACACATTTGATGAGTACAAGAAAGGGTACCTTGATCAGGCTTCTGGTAGTGCTGTGGTTGATCTCATGGAAAATGATCAAGTCTGGTTACAGCTGCCCAACAATGACACAAATGGCCTTTATTCTTCAGAATATGTCCATTCCTCTTTCTCAGGTTTCTTATTTGCACAAATGTAATATTCAGCATAACAGAAAAACGCATCCAGGTATATGTGTATGTAGTTCTACATATACAATGGAATTCACGAAATTAAACCCGAATACAACATTACATTTCTAAAGTTCATAATTTTAAAAAAAATAAAAAAAAATTATTCACAAGGTACAATCATACTATATGGCAACACTGAGAAATGCATTTTACTTGCCCACATACTGAAAAGCTAATTAAGATGATTTCTACCAAGATTATTCCCCCCCCCCCAAAAAAAAGGCACCACTATCAAAATCTCCTTTCATAGATGTGTTGGACTGTAATGCCACCAATACAAACAAATGTGCAATACATAGCTTTAAAACACTGATCAGAAAAGGCAAGAAATGCAATATATTCTGTTAATTCTATAACTAAACATTTTCAATGAAATATTTGCATGACAAAATGAATCCAGGTGAGCATCTGAAGTGGTAATAATGTCCAAATGTGCAAGTACTAGTAATAGGTGACCACGCTCACTGTAGATATTTAATACTAAATTGGCAGTATTATAATCCTCAGAAAATATTTCAAATGATTACCCTTCACAGAATGTCTGTTTACATACAACTTTCAGAGAATGATAGAACTACGAAAGCTAGGAAAACATTTTAAGCTGCTTTAACCTTATGGAGTGTGTACAATTAATAACTAATTGTACCACTGTGCAGTCAGTCTACATTTTATTAATATTACATCCCACAGCAACATTTTGATTCCAAACCATTTGCACACAGTCAATATAAATGGCCTGTACTGTGTTCTTTTAAAACCAGCATTCTACAGTTTGTTCTAAAAATGTCTAGTTCTATTTGTCCATTTTGATTAAAAAAATTATAAATAAAAAGTGAAACATTTCTTTCAGTTTCTCTGATCATTTAATGAATTTAGTGAAAAGGCAGCGTTATTATCCTAAATGCTTATTTTGTGAAAGTAAAGTCTTCTAGGTCTAATTCTGTCAATTATTTTTACTGTATTGTAGTGTTTACGTTACTTTGGGATTTTCTGAATACAGGTTGTAACAGGTTTAATATTTACATATGTAAGCGTTCAATCTTGTGCCGGATTCCTATTATGTAAAGTTAAGGACAGGAGATGGATATTTACAAAAGCAGGGGAAAAAGTGAGAAAATGTGTAACAGTTTCATGCTGTATGTTTTTCATATGGCTCATCTCCTAATGCCTTCAAAAACATCTCTCAACCTACCACTTAAACCAAGTTTTCCAGTGTTAGCCTTGCAAGGTAGTCCAGATAGGAACTATGAGTACTAGCTCCATTTTTACTGTAAGGTTACGTTACCAGAAGGTTACATGAGGTTACATTAACAGAAACTTGCAATGTATCATTCACGCTAACTCTCCCCCAGACTAGGGAAGGTCCCTTCCCAGATGCTTTTCTTCTTTGGACTCAAAGTTCTCTGATCAGACCATTGTCTAGTCCAGGGGTAGGCAACCTTGGCTCTTTTATGACTCGTGGACTTCAACTCCCAGAATTCCTGAGTCAGCATGGCTCAGCATGGAAACCTCTCCCTTTCCCCTCAGCATGGCTGGCTCAGGAATTCTGGGAGTTGAAGTCCACGAGTTGAAGGGCGGGGTAGAAATATAATTAATAAATAAATAAATAATAAAATAAAAGAGCCAAGGTTGCCTACCCCTGGTCTAGGCTGAGTCTCTCCCCGTCTCCCAAGGTATTTCTCACATACCATTACATCTTTGTAGGTATAGTGAGGATTGAGTAGTCTCATTTTCTAGGTACCCCACAGAATCAAAAACTCCCCTATTTGTGTCTGATTTTTCCTCTAAGGGTCCTCTCCCACAGGATAAGCCAAAAAGTGTGCTCCTTTATTAGCTACAGAAATGTTTCAATAAAAATGTTATTAATTGCAAGAAAACATTCTATCAATAGAGGAGAATATTTGTAGCTCAGGGTTGAAATGAGGGGGTCCTTGGTGCTCTCTGAGCTTGGTTGCTTTCTTGCAGGCATTTCATTATCCAAACTAGGTAACTTCATCAGTGCTAGTAGGGAGTGGGGTTTGCTCTCTGTTTATATTCTAGTGGCTTGCTCTGGGGTGGTCTTACAGATTCTTTGCTTGGGCTGTTTACTCTTAGCTTGTTTGGCCGTTCTTTGTTTGGAGTATTGTTTGCTGCTTGATTGCTACGATTCCAATTCAGTCCACATCAATATATTTTAATTGTGAAAATGCACAGCCAAGGCCAGCTATGTTTTGACAGATACACGAAAAGCACCTTCAACAAAGAAATAGCCCTTGAAAGACAGGGAAGCCACTCACCTTTAAAAGCTGATGTTTTATAATTATGCTGTATGGCACCAACCATATCCTTCCAGAAGTCATATTTTCTTCTAGAGCTGTGCTGCAAGCATAAAGAAACCCCGTTGCCTTTTTCATTGTAAATAGTTTTTCTAGCAAACAATGAGAAAATAAGCTAACAATCGCAAGCATAGTCTGAAATACAAGGCAGCCACATAGGGTTTCCTCATTCAGGATTCCAGCCAGTCCTTTTTCCTTACTCCATCACCCTGTTTCTGTTCTTCATCCCTCCCTGACTTTGCTAATTAATATGTAGGACTGGATTTACTCATGTGATGCAAAGATGTGATTATGCTCTTTCATTATTGCATTATTGGCTTGATTTTTTTTTTACTCTTCTCTTCCTCTTGAACTACCAATTCCCTACATCGGGGGGGGGGGTGTCAAACTGCCAGCCCATGGGCCGGATGCGTCATGTGGAAGCTGTGCCCACCCCAGCTCCAGCAAGGGGAAAAAAGTCACAATACATCGCGACATGTCATGTGGTGAGTTTGACACCCCTGCCCTACATAAAAGAGTCATTTTAATATTAAAAAAAAAACCCAAAAGCAAAAACGCTATTCATCACAGGAAGGGAGTAAAACCGATTCCTCACAGGCGTCACTATAGTACATAAATGATGGTTGTTGATCCTTACAACAAATCTTATCTGTTTCCAGATGACTATTTTGAGAAACTCTCTTCTTAATGATGCCTAACATGAGCATAAAAGCCTTGTTTTTCATGTGGGTCTCTGGATGAAGCAACATTGGCCCACTGACCCAAAGGAATATGGAAGCCAATCTAAAGAAAGGAATGTATTTAATGAAGTTTAGAGTCTTGAGAAAAAAATAAAAGTTTCATTTCATGCTTGCCTGCTTGCCATAGGACATGGTTTCCCTTATCAGACCTACATTTTTATCCATCTTTTCAGGTTTTATACCAAAAAAAAAAGGAATACATTTGAAGCAATAATGGCAAGTTAGTAGAACATATACAGTAATAAACACACTAAAAAAAGAATTTTCCTGCTTAGTCCATAAATCTTCAGAACAAGAGATTTATTAGGATTTTCACAGAAATGATGTCTGAGTTTCAGGGACAAGCCAATAAGCAGAATCAGTGTCCTATTTGGAGGTATGGCTGTCAAATGGAAACAGAGATAGGCATGGACACTCTTTAACTCCCTAAGAAAAGAAACAAATTCTTTCAGAATTCTATAGATATGTGATTTAGTTCTAGCTCAGGCATGTCAAACTGCCGGCCTGCGGGCCAGATGCATCATACTAAAACCGCGCCCACCCCATTGCCGGCAATGGGGAAAAAGTCGCAATACATTGCGCGACGTCACCTGATGTCACGAGTTTGACATGCCTGTTCTAGCTCATTCCTGTGACTCACTGCCGTAAACCAGGAGTAAAGAATTTGAACCCCGAACTTCCGGTGGGACGGCGCGCCGATGGCGGCTCTTTTGGAGCCGTCCGCTTGGGAAGGCATCAGAGCCAGCCTGAACAGCGGACATCAGCTGTTCAGCGGCTTGGAACCTTGTGCCCCGGGCGAAGGGGTCGAGGTGAGTACTCCCAGATAGGAGTAGAGCCCCAAAAGCTCTCCCTTAACTTAGGGAGAGCGAAAATTGGGTGCTCCTCCGGAGTCCGGGAACCTCCGTCTCCCAAATGCCTTTGCTCCCTTTTTTGGGGGGGGGAGCGAAGCAAGTCGTTGCCTCCACTCCCGCGAATTATAGAGACTTGTGAGTAATAATAAGCGGACGGAATTGCCCGGGGATACTGGACTTTGATCAATCTAAGACTCTAACTCAATTTATTTACATCTTCCCTATTGAACTGGGGAAAAAAAAAAAAGAGAAAAAAGATGGCTGCGGTTTGCCTTTCTTCAAAGTGAGAGTGATTTTCTTTTTTCTTTTTTTCTTTTTTAACTTTCACTTTCCGGTGGAGCTGAATGAAGAGGGAAATTGTTACCCCTTGTAACATTGATATGGAAAGTTTTAGTGATCTCTTTTTCTTTTTCTTTTTTTAATGAAAGAACTTTGGATTTGATTTTGGATTTCCCCCCTTTTGTTTCCAAAGCTGTGCTTAAAGAAGTTTGAAAAATGGCTTTACTTGAGGGAACTTCCGTTTTGTTTAAGGATTTTTAACAGTTTAACTTTGAAGTTAATTTTTCTTTAATTCTATCGATGGTTTCATTTGAAGACTTACAAAAAGTTTTGAAATAAATTAGAGAGAAATCTGCAGATTTTTTGGAAAGGGAACTACAAGGATTTTGTCAGAACATATCATTTGCTTTACAAGGTATTGCAGAGGCTAGGATGGAAGGAAAAATGGAGCCTGTAAAAGCTGAAAGTGGACTGACAAAGACTCAAGAAGAAGATTTGGATTTTAAGGAAGATATTTGGAAGGATTGGTGGCAAAAGCGGAAACTGGATTGGAAATATCTAAAGAAATTTTACAAGGATACAGAGAAGAGGTGGTGATGAACTCAGTTGTGACTTTGGGATGCAATTTTAAAGAAATACTTATAGAAATGGAAAATTATAGTATTGCATATTAGGAGAAGCAGCTGGGGGATTTCTTAAGAGTATCTTGTGATCTAATAATATAGGTATTTTTGTTCGAGATATTATGAGACTAATTTTAAAATTTTTTGGAGAAGGAGATGAGATCTGGTGGAGGTGTGGATTCAAAAGGGATTTTTGAAGAGATGTTATTTTTGATGTGATTAATCAATATATTATAAAATGTCACTTTTGATATGACATATTGATAAGGTGATATATCTGACTTTGGGATGTAATTTTAAAGAAACACTTATATTTTTGCTCGAGATATTAAGAGATTAATTTAAAGGGAAAAAAAGAAAAAATTCTTTGGAGAAGGAGATGGGATATTCTGATGGAGGTGTGGATTCAAAAGGGTATTTTGAATTTTAGTGGTTAAGAGATGCTATTTTTGATGTGATTAATTAATACTTTGGGATGTAATTTTAAAGAAATATTTATATGATTAAAAGGGTTCTGAATTATAGTGGTTACTTTAGTTACATGCTAA